GATAGATAGATAAATAGATAGATAGAAAGATAGATAGATAGATAGGCAGATAAATAGATAGATAGATAGATAGATACGCTGAAATTCGCCGAAGTTCGCTAAGAGATGCTTCGCATTTAATATTACTCCCCCTGGCTCATCTCATGTGCACTGGCACTCACAACCGGATCTGAGTCCGAGTGAGCGCACTCATGAGTGAGTTTGCCGACATGTGGTGCTTTAGCCTGTGGGAATTGAGGCTGGCCCGCTGCCTTTGCGCGGGCTTTCCCGCCTTTCTGCCATTCTCATGTCCCGACATGTCTGCCCTCCTTTGCTGTCTGCCGCGCTGGGAAGGGCGGAGTGACGTTTAACTCCCTCACCCGGTAGCGGATGTTGACTGTGGCGCCGCGCGCGGGGACCCCAGAGAGGTTTTCGCGCGCTGCGTCGGGAGCGAGAGTACAGTCCGGGACTTCAAACGGTGAGCCACGCATTCTTTTCCGTCCGTCGAGTCCCGTCGCTCGGGGCTCGTCGGACTTCGCTGACGGCGCCTCGCGCCCGATGCGAACGCTCACCTTTTGTTGCCCCGCTGCGTACTCACGGCCGAAGGGCAGTACGGTGTCCTAGTGCGTGGCCTAGCTACGCCGACCCGTCTCCCTTCCCCGGCAACGCGAGCGCCTTTGCCCTCGCTCGAGCAACCGGCCCCTTTGTCCCGGTGTCTCCGTGGATCACCTTTACCGCGGAGACGCGCTCGTGGCACCCCTGTGTAGTACTTTGTGCCCGTGGCGTGGATAAGCCTACTTGCTTTCCCGCCGCGCCTATTTGCAACGGGCTGTACTGCGTTTGGTGTTGCCACAATAAAGTGTTGCGACTTGAGCAGTATCGTGTTTCCCGCCACGGCGACGGTTAACGCGTGCCCTGCGGCTCGCTAAGACCGGACCCACGCTGGTGGCCGTACTCCTTCGGGATACGTGTACACCACGCTGGCGCCCAACGCGGTATCAAAAGCTCTAGCTTTTGTCTGCGCTTAGCGAGTCAGTTCGCCTGCGCGATTCGGGCTCGCCGCAACATGGCTGCTTCGCGGGACTTTTGTCCGCTGTCCCTTTTAGCGGATGCCGCGTTGCACACGGAGGCCATTGCCTCTATTGACGGGAACCCTTCTGCACCCGTCCGTGTCGGCACCCCCTATTGCGGTGACGACACGAGGCGCCTAGCCGCTCCCTTTGGAGATGGCGCGTCGCTTCGGAATGGGCCTCTTGCCCTACCCGAACGTTATGTCTGCTTCGTGGCATGCCGCGTTGCACCAAGAGGCCACCGCCTCTATCGACGGGCGCGCTTCGGCGCTCGCCTGTGTCGTCACCCCTTTTGTGGTGAATACACTCCTACGTGGTAGCTGACGCGCTATCTCGTGCCCCTGTTGTCTGCCGAGAACCTGGATTTCGGTGCGACGGCCGCTCGCGGTGCCTTAGCACATGCAAGCGTCGGGGGCGAAACAGCAGCTTCGCCGCCATTCGGCGAGAAGGGTGAGTCCCCATGCGGACAAACCTTGGCTGCTAACCAGGTAAGCGGCGCACCGCAAAGCGGCCGAGCGGGGGAGCTTTCCGAAGGCCACGAGGCCGAGAGCGAACCCGTGACGCCATGCACGCGGCCGTTGCTGCGGTCCTGAGTGGGCGCGATACCAGACTCCCCCATTTGGGAGAATGGGAATTGCTTTCGGCAGCGAAGAGCTACTGAGGGCTCAGCAGAGTGATCCGTTTCGAGTCTCGAAAGGACGGAGCGCCGTATACGCTGCTTGCTTTGCGGCGGGCGCCGTTAAACCGTCTTGAGAGGCGCGCCGTTACGCTGCTTGTTCTGCGGTGGGCGCGATTAGGGGGCTGTAACAGCGTGTGTCGCTGAGTCCCCGGCGGATTCATTTTGCTGGACCATGACGGGCTCCTGCTGAACTATATAGCCACTGACGACGAGTCCAGCGACCCGTTTAAGGTGGTTATGCCCAAAAGTCTGAGAGCCGCACTGTTGCGATCCTCTCACGACGAATCCATGGCCGGTCACCTGAGTGGCTCGAAAGTTTTTGCAAACTGAGCAATGTTGTGACCTGGCCCGGCACGAAGCGTGGCTTTTATCGCTATTCCGTGCCTGCCACGTGACAAACGGTTGAGCCAAAGGTTGGAAAGCCGCCCGGTCTTATGAACCGATTGTCAGTGAGCGTCCGTGGCGCGTACTAGCTGAAAGATCCCCTTTGGGAAAACTCAGCCGTGCCCACATCGCAGACCTGAAGCCCTTTGTCACGGTCTGACGAGCTCGCGCCAGTGCCCTACGGCACTTCGCGCAAGCAACGGGCACACCCGGAGCGGCGGACCGCATTCGGACCCCGCACCGGTATAATCTGAGGAAGCGGTCACCTTTGTGATTTCGCGCCGGACGGCGGACTTCTCCGCAACCGAAGGCCCTCAGTTTACTGTCTAGCCTCAGTATAGGTTAGCTTCTTTACGGCCTTTTCTCGTAAAGAAGTTGACCCCGCCCTGTCTGCTGCCAGTGTTTCTTTTTTTTGAAGTGTTCATGTGTATTTTATGTTTATTTTGTCTAATATTAAGTGTTATTTGTATTTTATGTTTTTTGCCAGATGTTTAGTGTCAGTTTGCTCTGTGTTTACTTTTTTCGTGTTCGTTTCGTCTACCGCGAAGGGAGCTGTGTGTGACCTTGAGTGTCGGTGCTTGCCGGGAGGGAGAGAGACGAAGGACGCGCAGCCCTCGGTGGTGTGTGTGCGTGCGTGCGTAAGTGCGTGACGCTTCAGTGCGAGCCCGCGAAGAGTGCGTCATGGCTTCCCCCCATCGACGCGGGCACTGGAGGTGCTGGGGGGCATTGACCCATTGACATCAGACCGTCTGGCTGTGCTCTGCTCTCGGCCGCCGTCGAAGAAGCCGTGCTGCCGTTCCCACCATGGCTCCTGCGCGAGGCCAGCTGAAAGCAGCTATATGCTGCCGGCCAACGCCAGGGCGCCTCGCAGCCAATTCGGGTTCGGCCTCCCTGACCACTGGAGAGGCCCGGCTTCCCGCAACGTCCAGCTCCGTCATCGAGCCAGAAATGCGGGGCGGCCCCAAACAACCGAAGCGGCTTTCGGCGGACTCGCGGCTTATCAAGAGCAGGAACAAGCCATCAGTCAGCCCCCTTTCCGTACCTCTGACCTCGCACTCGGGCATCGCACCCAGCGGACACTGTCACGCCTTTCCGCACCTCCGCGCAGTGGACGCTATCCCCCTTCAGCACCACGAACACTACTGCCACGTTTCTGTGCTCCCTTCCGCAGTTATTTGTATAGTGTCATGTGGTTACTTCATTATTTATGGTTTGTTTCTCATCTGTGATCTTTTTTTTAGCAGCAGTAACAGGGCTGGACTGAGGTAGCTGTCGCTCATGGCAGTGTCATTTTAACTGCATGGGTGACGTCCGGCTGCCTTTTGCGGACCGGTAAAGGACAAGTTTAGGAGAGGGGGATGTGGGAATTGAGGCTGGCCCGCTGCCTTTGCGCGGGCTTTCCCGCCTTTCTGCCATTCTCATGTCCCGACATGTCTGCCCTCCTTTGCTGTCTGCCGCGCTGGGAAGGGCGGAGTGACGTTTAACTCCCTCACCCGGTAGCGGATGTTGACTGTGGCGCCGCGCGCGGGGACCCCAGAGAGGTTTTCGCGCGCTGCGTCGGGAGCGAGAGTACAGTTCGGGACTTCAAACGGTGAGCCACGCATTCTTTTCCGTCCGTCGAGTCCCGTCGCTCGGGGCTCGTCGGACTTCGCTGACGGCGCCTCGCGCCCGATGCGAACGCTCACCTTTTGTTGCCCCGCTGCGTACTCACGGCCGAAGGGCAGTACGGTGTCCTAGTGCGTGGCCTAGCTACGCCGACCCGTCTCCCTTCCCCGGCAACGCGAGCGCCTTTGCCCTCGCTCGAGCAACCGGCCCCTTTGTCCCGGTGTCTCCGTGGATCACCTTTACCGCGGAGACGTGCTCGTGGCACCCTGTGTAGTACTTTGTGCCCGTGGCGTGGATAAGCCTACTTGCTTTCCCGCCACGCCTTTTTTGCAACGGGCTGTACTGCGTTTGGTGTTGCCACAATAAAGTGTTGCGACTTGAGCAGTATCGTGTTCTCGCCACGGCGACGGTTAACGCGTGCCCTGCGGCTCGCTAAGACCGAACCCACGCTGGTGGCCGTACTCCTTCGGGATACGTGTACACCACAAGCCCCATAAAACGCCGAGTTCAGGGACAGCGCCAGGCCATGCAGCACGCGTTAGAGTCGTCATGCGACTAAAAAACCCGGAGGTCCAGATGCAGACCACCATCGAAACAATTCAGCGCTTTCTCGTGGCCACAGTCATGCTACATCACGCAGGGGCGTCGGGAGAGGGGGGGGGGGTGGAAAAGGGGGCACTTGCCCCCCTGAAGCCACGTCTGTGCTTGCTCTCACCTAAACTACAACGGTGCTCTCGCCTTCTTCCAACCGCGATGCCACACTGGTTTTTGCCCCCCCCCCAAAAAAAAAACAAAAAAAAACCACGCACACCCTCAATATTGGGTCTGGTGGTCCCATGCCATGCCCTCCCAAGCGATAATGTACTTCGTTCTGCCGAGCACCAGACCGGAAAGATATTGTATCAAGACCGATTGTTGGCCTAGTTGGTACTTGCTTAACGACATCCTTTAGCCGCGAAGTATCACAAACACAGAGTGAAGAAACACGCGACGAGGACAAGTGGCACTTCCGGACATATCGTAAGTGCCGCTTGTCCTTGTGTGTTTCTTTTACTCTGTGTTCGAATACTTAGCAACTAAAGGATGTCGCCAGGCTAGCACATCACTGATATTTATTTCGCCGGTAGGCAGAATCCTGCCGTCGACCTGCCGACGACCATGCGCCACAGGCGACATTTTTCGTGCCACAGGCAACCTTGTTTACAAGTGAAGCGAGAATTCATCGGCCTCGACTCGCGAAAGTTCCCATGAAAGGCTTAGCAGAGCGCGTCGCGACGGCTTACCTTCTGGGCGGAGATCATGCGGATGCGCGCCTCGTTGAGCATCTCGTCCTTCTCCTGCTGCGACGGCTGGCACAGGTGGTGCTCCGAGCAGTCGGGACAGAGGGACACGTGGCTCAGCTTGCGGAACATGTACGCGGGCAGGGCGCTGTTGCAGGCCCGGTTGTGGTCGTCCTGGCGGGGAAAGAAGATCCATTCAGCGTTCTCGGAAGTGTTTCCGGAACGACGCGCAAGGAACGTCGTGGCGAAAGGAGGAGAAAACGCTATACGTGTAGTGTACGAACAGTGTACCGTATTTTAGAAGCACGGAAATTGGGGCGAGTTTGTACTGATCCATAGTGGTATTTAGGAGAGCTTAAATACAAGATACAAATGACAAGGAAGAGGTACTAGAGACAGACAAAAATACAAGAGACAAAATACAATAAACAAGTACAAGAGCGCTCGTTTGTGTAATCTGCCTCTGGCATTCAGTCTGTTACGCGCTCTTATATACCACCATGGACAATATACCATATATTGTTATCATCATCATCATCATCATCATCAATCTAACTACGCCCACTGCAAGACGGAATCCTCTCCCATGTTCTGCTAGTCCACTTGGTCTTGTGCTTGCTGCTGCCACTTAATATTCACAAACCTCCTAATCTCATCTGCCCACCTAATTTTCTGTCTATCGCTATATAGCCCGCTTGCCTTCTCTGGGAATGCAGTATCATATATACACCCGTCGGCAAAAGTATGCGGACCACTAGCGTTCGCATAGACCTCTTCCACGTACGAACGCGCGGGAGGCTCTTCCAACGCGCTGCGCCAGCTGTCACGTCGTCATAGAGGGTGGTGGCGAGCTTTGGGCTGGGCGGAGTGCACGCGCCGCTAAAAGCGCATCAATATGTCAACGACGCCTACCCTTCGTTTACAAACACACGGAACAGGTCTATGCATGGCCTCCTCACCGCAGTCCTTTATAAACACACAAAATAGGTCTGTCCGGGGCCTCCTCACCGCGTCCTGTCCGCTGTCCTTGGGGTTGTACGGGTTCCCGATGGCAGTGTACTGCTCGACGTACTTCCAGTCGGCGTCCGTCAGGAACACGTCCTCGCGGTGGACTTGCAGCGAGCGCTTCTGCACCTCGCGCAGGTGGCGCACCGCGTTCACCATGTTCGACTGCTTCCACGCCGACAGTGCGTTCATGCCTGCGTGTGTGCGTAATAATTAGTGCGAACAGCCGTGTGAAGACTTTTTTTTAAAAGCAAGAAGATGAAGAAGAAAGGAAGGACAAGATGGAGTACTGGCGATGCTTTGCTGTTTGAAACGGATTCGATTGACGTAACATGTCACGTGATCATGGGTGTTAGGGGACGACTGCACACCCCGCCGTGCTACAATTACGGAAAATTCTGCGTAGAACAGCAAGGCATACGAAGCAGCTCTCCAGAAAAACGAAATAATCTAGAAGGAATGGAGGAAAGCTACGCACAAGGAGAAATGAGACGCAAGTTGAAGCGCTATGACTGCCCATCAATTTTTTCGTGTTGTTCGTGTTCCCCCTTGTGCGTTGTACTTCTCCAGCTCCGTGCAGAGGGCCGATGCCTGTACAATGAACCTAGGCGTGCCCTACTGGCTTATGATCATTTGAAGCCTCTTACCGAGAATCCTCAGGAGAAAAATTGGTCGTGGTGGCGTTGACGAGTAGAGTCAGGATTACGATGCCCGAAACTTGGATAAGGATCTGCGGGAGAAAAATGAATAGAAGAAGGGGAAGGGGAAAGAAAGTGAAAAAATTAGTTGGTCAGATGCCGGTTGCTGTCCTTGTAGACTGCGCAAGTTGCTTGAACGGAAACGAAATAGCAAGATTCAATGGTCTAGATAATTTAGTTGAGCAAAACAGAGAATATCCCATGGGAGCTAGGTGGTTTATTCGCTTTAAACGGATACGTTGATTCAAGGGGGAAGCGTTACTTCTAGATTTTGAAAATATGAAACAATTTCGGCGCTTCTTCGAAAATAAGAAAGGTAACAGTCGAACGCACCCTAGCCTCTCCGTAAATGACACATCTGCTCTCCGTCTAAACTGACGCAGACGAGTAAACACGCAACCATATTCATTGTGACGAAGAACTCGTTCTTATACAGACGTGAATGCGACGTCGCTTGTATCGTGCGAAACATTCAATGCCTACATATAAGGAACGTCATACGAAACCTAGTGCCATCACAGTGGACAAGGGACCCCCCAGCGTGCATACCTTGTTGCCGATCTTTGCCCTGTCTATGTATCGACTCTCGGCGACGGACAGAGCTAGGGCGAGGCCGACGGCTCCCCTGAGTCCACCCCAGGTCATGATGATGGCGTCCTGCCACATGAGGCCGTAGCCGAGTCGAGTCAGGATCGGACTCAGCATGCCAATCATCAACAACCTACGGAACAGTCGTACCAAAAGGGGTAGCAAGAAAAGATGTAACATTGTATACACACAGAAACGTCTTTAGCGCTGCAGAGACGAGAACGCAGCAATAAAAAAAAAACATTCCGCGTACAAGTAGTACCCATGCTCCCTTCCAACCCTCTGCGTCCCCTCTGTGTAGCTGAACTACTCGTGAAATTACAGCTTGTGCTCAGCCGCTTGTGCGGTTACAGCTTGTGCTCAACCGCTTGTGCGGATACACAAGTCAAAGGAGGTAAAATCAACCACTCGTGCGGTTGATTTTCTCTCCTCCGCCTTATATATTTCTGTTTTTTTCCCGAAAGTTAAACTTTGGGGTTCAGTGCATCGACTAAGAAAAAGAAGATGGCTTATTCCTACGAGTCCTATTAGGTACGAGTATCGGCGGGACTGTAACTGGGGAGAGGGGTGCAAGCCTAGTTGCATTGTGACTGGGGGAGGGGGCAACTAGCGTTGCTTGGGTGAGGGAGTGTGCTAGTACAGTTTGAAAGGGGGGAAGAGCCCCTTTTGCACCAACTGCCGACGCCTATGGCATTAGGAGAACGCTTAAGGGTGGCAAGAGCAGCAAGGCAAGGTGTACTATCATGACTTTCTCTCTCCTATTCGTCTCGGTCATGTTTCGATGAATAAGCAACAAAATAACTATGCGTGAATGCTCACCTGAACACGGTGATGGCGATGTAGGTGATCAGAATGAGGAAGAGGTCGTTCTTCTCGATGTAGGACACCGACCGCTCCGTGATCACGATGCCCACGATGATGAAGATGAGCGTGTTCGCCAGGTACGACAGCATCTCCCAGAAGCTGCAGGTGACCAGAACGATACGCGTTGCGATGAAGTAAATAATTTCCAATAGGCAATAACCAAACTTCTATAGCACTCGTAGCGTACGTGGCTCGTTTGGAAGCTGCCGAAGATGTTCGTCCAGCAGCGAACATATTTTAGGCTTGCTATAGTACTCTTTGAGATTGCGAGTTGTCCCAGAGGGGCAGTCACTTACAGGCCTCTGCAGTACCCAAAGATGGTGGCTAACCACGATGAAGCCATTGCAAGCTGTCCCCATAGATGACATAAGACTGCACTCATGTTTGGGCGCTCCATAGTAACGTAAGATGGGTTACCATAGAGACATCTATAGAGATAGATTACTATAGATAACCCAACTACAATGATGTCACCGCAAGATATTCCGATGGCTGACACAAGGACACTCAGCTATGCATATTCTACGAGTACTCTAATATGGCAGCTAAGAGTGATGATGCCATTTCAAGCTATATCGCAATGGAAAACAGAAAATTGCGCTCACATACTGACGCCCTATAGAATCGTAAGATGAGAGCTGAGTACGATGAGGTCGGTATATAAGCTATTCCAATGGAAATGGCAGAAGGGCACACCACTCACCTGTGGACGAACTCCTCGACCTCGGGGCTGATGCTGACCTTGTTGGCGCTGATGACGACACCCAGTGCGACGACGGCCAGCACCCCCGACACCTGGAGGACGGTCTCGGCCAGGTAGTAGGTGATGTAGGCTGAGCTGAGCGTGATGGTGATCTCGATGACCGAGTCGTTGAACACCTTGGACAGGTACCACACGGACAGCTTGCCCACCACCAGGCCCAGCAGGGGACCGCCGAACGAGATGCGGCAGAACATCCACGCGATGTCGGCCGCTGTTGCGTAAAGCGCGTGTCATGAGACAACCGGAATGTTTGTTATATGTGAGAGCATGCAGTTATGGGACACTTGAACAGAAAATGGGTTTTTCGTATAGGTAAAGTTAAAAATTTCAAGGTCATCACGTTTGCCGCGAGAAGACGCGTGGCAGGCGAGGAAACGCACAAAAAGGAAATGCAGCTGGTGACGCCACCTTGAACTTCCTGTACTGAACGCCGTGACGTCATGAATTTCAAAGGCGCCCAGAAGGCCTTACGTAGTTTCTGATCGCTAAAAAAGAAGTGCACTGTCCTCCAAGGAGGGCAGAGTCGAGACTTTGTCGCCAAAACACGAATGCTATACTGTCTTTGAAATCTTGGAAAAGCCTCTTAGTCGCTGAATTTGCAGAGCGACCGCCCCGAAGAGGCGTCCCGGATTCGAACCCCGAACCAGGACAAGTTTTTCGAAGAATAAAATAATTTTCTTTTTGAGAATCACGGCCTCACGCTGCAAGTGGTTGTGTTCTTTCTCTTTCTTACTATTAAATATATCGCGTCACCCGCCGAGATTTCAGTACGAAATTTAATCAAGAAACTTGGACCTTCATTTTCTGCTCTATTGATGAACCTACGATGGCGAAAAATTGACGGCATTAGAGTTCTCATAGTACCATTTATTCATATAAACCGATTTATTGTTTCCTTTTAGTGTTCCTTCCAACGTACCTTCTCCGCTTTTGCTAATATATGTGTGAACGAGCGCCGAATGGTGGCAAGCTGTCCTACCGCACTTACTCGCACTCTACCAGTGCTACAGCCGTATACAACCCAAGTCCGGAGAGGCACTACCCGGATTACCTAATAAGCGCGGCAGCCGATCGCCTCTGCGGCTAAAGAAACCGTCTCGCCTTTGTAGGTGTTTGGCGATGCTCATCAACGCCTGGTTCACTGACAGTCTTACTTATGACGTCATTCTATATCGCGCGCTCATTGGTGCACATCTGTGTACATAGTCGTGTGCAGGGTTGCCCATCGTGTGGGAGGGGCGAAGGTTCTCCGCAGCGCCCCCTCCTAAGTTAAGGTTTCTAGAGGGGACTAGGGGGTTAGGTGGCTAGAGAGGAGGGGGGGGTTTGCCGCCTTCCCCCTGCCCTCCTCGTGCGTCCGCCTGCGTCTGTGTGCATTCACCTGCGAGGTCGAAATGCGGCTCTACTTTAATGGTGTACCCGACTGTAGTCAGCACTGAGAGGAGCGTCGGGTAAAAAATGGATCATGATGGTTAGTGTGGGCTACCGGATAGAGTTAGCTTAGCATTGGCAGATGTTGCTTAACGTAGGCTAGCCGCTGTTACAACAGCGACGTTCTCTCCGTTGAGCACAAATCTAGTGGTGACCTCGTATGGCGATGGACTGCAACATGGAGGTGTTCTGTCTGAGATTCTTCAGTGGACACTATTATTTGTCTTGCATCTACTGTGTTACTTTTACAAAGCGCTGATGTCGTGGTCACCCTGCCTTTGTACACACGGACACAAATATGTTTGCGTGTAGGCTCCATGACATCTGTGTGACGGCTCATGGTAGGTGATTCTGTGCGTTGCGAACTCTTTTTCGTCACTTGCGTTTGTAGAGACGTTCCTGTTATACTGGTGCTTTGGTTCGTGTACTGCCATCAATTATTCATTGTGATCAAGCTTAGGAAAGAATTCGATATTCCTGGATATCGGGCTCCAACCTAGCCACGACGCTTATGGTCCCGCATCTAAACATAATTATAAAAGTTGTTGAGAAATTGCCAGCTCTGTCCTCGCAGTGAAGGATAATCTTTCATCTCCATTGTATTCCATGGGAAGACTCGTCTTAACTAGTAGAAACACAAATAAGCTTCATCTGTCAAATGCAGGAAGCGGCCTACCTGTCATGCTTCTTCCGGGAACGGCGAGCTCAATGAGCACCTCGTAGATGACGATGGCCGATCCGTCGTTGAGCAGAGCTTCGCCGTCGATGATCGTGGTCAGGATCTTTGACGTGCCTGCGGCAACGAAACGCGTGTTGGAAGTTGTGGCAGGGTGTGCACAACGCTCGTTGTGGCACGTTCACACCTATGATAATGCCGACAATTCACCGTGAACTGAGATTAAAACAAATAAAAAAAGAGAGAAGGAGAAATGTGAAAATGCAAACACGTGTTTCGTAAGCTGCCGTGGAGTGTAACTGGGGTCTTTTGGGTAGTGTAAGCGTGGAACGCTACGGCGCAATTTCCCACGTGCCACCACATTAATACACTGATAGATGCATCGCAACCACTGTAATAATAATAATAATAATAATAATAATAATAATAATAATAATAATAATAATAATAATAATAATAATAATAAAGAAATTGGTGTGAGCCAGCTTGCTGCGTTGCAATGGAGGCGTAGATGTTGCTACAACTGGTAGCATGAACAAGCGGTGCACTGCCATTATGGCTAATGCAATACACTGAACAAATGGTTGCCAATGAAGCAACTATACAGCCAAGCGACGAACATTGCCAGTGGTTATGTAACGATTACGTTTATTGGATGTTTGTGACTCCTAAAACTGCCCACGGCGTTTAGTGTGTCCGTGTGCATGCACACGAAAAAAAAGTGCTAGACCTGAGTTGTGATGGTCGGATTTATTGTGTGGTTAGAATTTAACCTAAAATACAAAAAAAAAACCACAAGATATGTGGGAAGTCGGCTTCTCCTTAGAAAAACTGTCCCTGTGGAGAAGCCCGCTTCGACGATTGCATTTTAGGCGTCTATGCAGCAACAGAGGTACATCCTTATGCCGTCTTAAGTATATGCGTAAGTTGCCCAGGTTTGAAGTGAGATTCGTGATTTTAGGCATGTTTCAGGTTATGAGACATACCTTATGTTCTGCGGCGAAGCGTACCTAAAGGGGCCCTGCAACACTTTTTGAGCATGGTCAGAAAACGCTTCCGATCGGTAGTGGAGGCTCCCGACAACACGCAAGCCAAATATTATAGCACAGTACGCGGCCTGGATTTCGCAATAAATTATCAAAGTGAGCTAAAAATAGCTTTCTCTTCTCTCGACAGATCACGAAATATAAGCCCAGTAAGTCCATCTATCAGCCATTGGCTGATTTAAACATGGTGCGCTCGCTCGTGACAGAGATCGCCGCAAGAGGCCGTCACTTGTCCACGCGTGCGCGCGTGATCGCACTAAAAAGCCGCGTATTTGAAGAAAAAAATGCTCAAGGTCCTGAGGTGCGTGTGAGGTTTTTTGTTTGCCCCTCCCATCCCTCCCTGTTCATCTTCCAGTGCTTTCGTCGGGACGAGAGAAGAGAGAACGTCATTGCAGCGTGTGACGAATCTTTGTAACCCCACTCGTACTAGACGGATTATTAAAATTTTTGTGGCGTTAGATTTGTGAGGTGATACGCTTTCTCCAGTGAATGAATTTCATGGTTACTCAAGAAAGTGTTTCTGGGCCCCTTTAAGAGTGGAAATGGGGACACTGCAGCCACAGGGCTTTGTACGTGCTTTTCAATCACACACGCGCATACACACTTTCACCGTTCGCATTTCGAATGCCCAGACATCAAGTCATTGTGCCCACAGGTCTTCCGATCTAAGGGTCCTATGAGCAAAGCAAGCCCGTTGCATTGCTAACGGGGGCCCTTGCCCAGTTTTACACTTGCTCGTCAAAAACAGGCTTACCCGCAGTATGAGGCTTTGTGAGGAGAAGCCAACTTCACCGTCATTTTATTTCGCATTGGAGTTACGAAAAGATAATGATGCAAATAAAGGCGATAAAAGTGATAACGTCGCATGTAAAATTTAATCGTGTAGGTGTGTGTTTTTATCACCCACCGGAGAGAAATGGAATGCAAACATCAGGTCAATAAAGAAGAAACATCAGAATCAGTAAAGAAGTCAGCGCTCGTCGCTTCGTTCGTACTGAAGTCGACGTCTTACTGCGATCTGAAAAAAAAAAGAATTTTAACTCGTCCAAATTTCACTTCTTTGAAGCACGATTTCCTTCAATTCGGAGGACGCGCGCGCGTGTGTCCAGGATAAGGCGTATATCGATAGCAAGAGGCAGATAGAAGGGATATCGACTCACCGACGTCCCTGAGTAGAGCCACCACTGCCACGGGGTCGGTGGCGCTGAGAATGGAGCCGAAGAGGAAGGCGCTGTGCCATCCCCACTCGTAGCTCACGAACAGGTTCACCGACAGGAAGGCCGTCAGTCCGGCGCAGATCACTGTGGGTCATTGGTTGTTACTCAGTGCCAGAATATCGAAGCAGACCAAATATTGATGAGCCGATGTTGATTCGATAGTAGATCACATGTTCCATTTCCACTATTCTCTTGCTTGTTCGAATTTCCTTTGTAAAAAAAAATTGTGTGAAATGAAATGTCTGATTTGGCGAAACCTCGCCAGGACTGAAATGATCGCGGTAAACAACAGAGGATGCGCACCAAAAAAAGTAGAGTTTGCAATTCGAACAAACAAACAAACAAACAAACAAGCAAGCAAGCAAACAAACAAACAAACAAACAAACAAACAAATAAACAAACAAAAAATTATGTTTCGGCTCCAGTACATCAGAATTGTTCATAATCTCTGTCGCCTATCGATGACACGTCATTTCTTATTCCTTTCAAACTTTGCTTTTTGCGGTCGTTGTCTTCCATCCTTCATATAATATCATTCAGTTGAAGCCGAACTGGCCTAGACTTATGGGTGAACTCGTTGTTTGAAACGCTTGTACAGAAATATTAGGCCAGCTTTGCTTGGCGGAGACGGATGAAACAGCGAAACTGGCGGCGTGCACTGGAGTTGAATGAATTGAGAATTAAGTAGGTTAATTGAAGTATGTGAATGAATAGGGAGGAGTGGCGGGGGCAGTAGTGGGCGTAGTGGCGAGTTGTGGAAGTAGTGAGTAGTGCGAACCGGGGAAGGATATGGCGCACATGTCTTATGGTGTGCTTTACCCACTTTCTGTGAGTAGATTCCTTTAAAATCTACGTTCTACGATGCTTCCTGGACCCGAAAGCCAGCTTCAATGTTAAAATAGAAATCGACCAATCAATCAATAAATCCAGTCGGTGACTCCACTCACTCACTCACTCACTCACTCACTCACTCGATCGATCAGTCAATCAATCACTCACTTGATCAATCAATCAATCAATCAATCAATCAATCAAATAATCAAATAATGTGTGGGACTAGGCGAATTGGTAATACTACGTAGTGGTGTGCGGTGTGCTACAGCAGACAAGGCAGGATGCTTTTAAGCAGTGCTCGTTTTCTTTGCTCATTCCGCGTCCATTGTCTGCTGTTGTGCTGTTTTGAACGCTGATCACAAAGCGGCGGCGGGGTGTATTGATTGATTGATTGATTGTTGCAGAGCTTAAGGTGGTGGCTAACTCACGCAGTCCGGGCACGGCCATGAGTATGCACTGCGTGAAGCATCGCATGAAGGTGTGCGCGTCCATGGCGAATGCCGACTCGAAGATCAGTATGGGCAGGAACATGTGCAGCAGCAGCTTGGGGTCGATGCGCGCCAGGTAGGTGTATATCTGCAGGGATTCGTACTGGCGCGACACCAGGCCCATCAGGGCACCGAACACGAACAGCACCACCGTGTACGGAAGCTGGATGTTCAGACGCTTCAACAGGAAACGCACCAACGCTGGGAGAGGAGAAAAATGATGAAATGGTTGTCATGTCTTTCAGATTTGACCGCACGCCGGAGCTACGGCACGTCTATTGACACGATTTGTATTCGCATGCGCCCAAAAAGTACATACAATGACTCCATTTTCAACTTTGATTACATGTTCTGCCCCTTCCGGCTTCTCCAGCAACGTTGTGCTGCAGTGCAGCCTGCCGAGCTGAGGCCCAATTAACCTCCCTGATTATTTTTAAGGCTGAAGACTTATAGTCGGACACAACTTTCGAAATCCGGAACGTATACTATTCTCAGTTGGATGCACATTAGCGTGCACCAATGGGTGCGAACTCTAGAGTGACGTCACGAACCGGACTGCCGATGAGCCCGCCTTCGGAGGGCACTTGCGATAGCATGAGGGAGACTGAAATTTCTTCTGTCGTGGAGGCGATCGCCTGCGCCGCTTTAGTAGTCTGGGTGTGGCCTTTCCGGACATTTATTCTTCGGACTTCTAAGTTGTATTCGACTGTAGATGTCTCACGAAACGCGAAAATCGACCATCGCCGGCTCCAATATTAATGATGCAAAAAAAAAATCATCATTGCGCGAAGACGGCACCACATGACGCCATCGTGAATTCACAGTTCGTCGACGTTTGTGACGTCACCATGTCGTCATTGTCACCAAGTCGTCACCATGCTGTCATTGCCTAGTTGAAGCGCGTGATTCGAACGCTGTGCGTTCGAGTTTCACAGGCGCAAAGGGTTATTTTGCGTCCGCTTCCATTCGATTGAATTGACGTCGTAATTACTCAACTGCAGTTCAAGGTAACCATTAATTTATCGTGTGATTTTCTTAGCTTAATTGTCTGTTGGATTCATTTGGCTGTGTCCAAAAAGGAACCGAGCCTAAAAAGAAAACTTCTAGTTGATCTCAGCGACACAAGGTGACGCCACTAATTAAGCATGATACGTTTACCTTTTCGCTTCCCGTCGGTAATCTGGAAACGGGTGATTATTTGCAGATAATCTTAATCTCTTTACTGGCATTAAAGCATGTCACAGTAGCGACCGTATCGTACAATATGGTTTATTTACCCTTTCCCTTCAATACACGGAAATGGATAGAGGATGGAAGCCTTACTTCCGAGTATGAAGCTGACAAAGAGAAATAGGATGGGTGCTGCCGCCCGGAAGTATTCCTCTTCCTCTCCCTCCATGAGTGGCTCGTTGCTGCCGTCCGTTTCGTTCCTGCGTATGAACTCGGCCATGTTCTCAGCTACGTGCTCCAGCAGGCCGCCACCACCCTCAGTGGTCGTCGCCGTGGATGCCATCTTGGACGACTACTACCGCCTCCTGGCGGTCTCCTCTGTCACTCCAGTAGGCTTCTCCTGCTACCCGCCTGCAAGAAAAATCCAATCAACCAATCAATCAACCAACAATCACCCAACCACCCAATCAATAGATCAATCAATCAATCAATTGGCCAACCAACCAATCAATCAACCACATAGTTAAATGCAGGCGTACTCCATCCTTTGATTACGTCGTCGTCGACAATGAGCGCGTCGGGGCACACTGGAGTTACTTGTTGAGATATCGATAAAATATGCATTGGTAACACGCGTACACAGTGATGAAGGTGGGCGTTGTGATAATTCGATGCGATTGCACTAATATGCGCGGGGTGGCTTCGAATGCAGTCGGCAGCGTCCGCGTTCGGATGTTAACAGTATGCAAAAAGCGTAAAAAAATTCTATTCAGTACTTTGAGTGGGACGAATTTACACTTGCTATATGAGAGAAGTGACTCTCCAGATCTGTGTACTGTTTTTAAAGAATTAACAACGACGGACACGGTATTGCGAAGAATATTTTGTGGGTTACCGTTCTGCCATTGTCGTCCATTGCGCTTGATATCGAACGTATGACTAGGGAATTCACTATCGAACTAAATCGGGTCGCCATTCAGTGCTTCTTGACGATCGTCAGTGGCTACAGTATGCGTCCTTCAAACTGGCACTGCCATGCTAGCAGCATTTTCCAAAGCAGAGCCACTGACTGCGGATACCAGTTTAGTAAGTAATGAAAAAAAAATGATGCGTTGGCGGCGGAAAGGCGTCTAAAGCAGGTGACAGGAGAGAAAGAAAGAGAGAGAGAGAGATAAAAAAGAACTTGGCGGCGAAAAGCCACTCGTTTTACCGAATAACTCAAGGATTTCTTCCTCAGAATTGTAGGAAAAACTCCGTATGAAGGATATCAAAATATGATAATCATAACCAGGTAGATATGCATGGGTGAGCACAAGTGTCTGTACACCGCATTTTAGGTCACGCGAAATGCATGGGTCAATCTTTTGTACTGTCGCCGTCGCCGAGATGGAGGGATTAACCTTAGGATTACGCATGCATGCATGCACTACTGAGTCGAGTCATAATTAACGGGGCGAGAATCGCGAACGTGAGGCCGTCTGACACCGTCTTGGAGCTGACAATGCCGGAATGGATAGATGTATTATAGATGTCCTGAAGTGTAGATGCATGCATTGAAGCAGGCTGTGTAAGGAAGAATTAACCTTGGGATTACACATGCAGCAACCTCTGCACCGCTCAGTCGAGTCACAATCAAGGAGGCAAGAATTATGGATGGATACCAAATGGTTTGACACCATCTTGAAGCAGACGATGCGGCAGTACGTAAATGGAGAGATAGATTTGGTGAGAGGGAGATAGTGTTTACGCTGAAGCAGACGACAGATGAACTTTACTGTGACGGACAAGATGGAAGGTAGAGGATTATCGATAACGGTGGTCGATGCACGCTGCCCACAGAGCAAATAAATATCATGTCAATGTATATTTCGCAATGACGCGTAATTCCGCGAACTTCGCACCCTAAAAAAAAACAACAAAAAAACCTCGTGATGCTGGAAGGACGAGTTTTAGCGAAAGGACGTTGAGGAATTGTAAGCGGACGACACGAAGATCTGTTTGGCGTCGTCTGAAAAAATGGAAGGCTCGCCGATGTCACGTTTATTGTCGGCGCTTTGATTGTCCGTAAAATACCTCTGGAGAAGAAGAAGGACGACATGCATAGTGAATGCCTGCCTATTACCTATTACAGTTCACCTATTAAGGTGAACGAGCGCATCGAGGCACGTTTGACACGAGCGCCATCTGAGAGTTATCTTCAAAAACGAAGGAAGGCGTGCGCGCCTGTCTCGGAGGTGATAAGGTGTAGGACGCAAAGCGACGGGCAGGTGCCAACACCGTGTCGTCTTAGCAAAGCGTTGCAAACACTTGCCTCTTAAATGCGAAGCATTTCTTAGCGAGCTTTGGCGACTTTGAGCGTATCTATCTATCTATCTATCTATCTATCTATCTATCTATCTATCTATCTATCTATCTATCTATCTATCTATCTATCTATCTATCTATCTATCTATCTATCTATCTATCTATTCTATCTATCTATCTATCTATCTATCTATCTATCTATCTATCTATCTTATCTATCTATCTATCTATCTATCTATCTATCTATCTATCTATCTATCTATCTAATCTACGATTTTTAGCTCTCCTGGCCGTTTCCATAATGGTATCAATACCAAATTTGGTATGGCCCAACATGACTGTATGAAGAACGTATTTGACTAGTCATAACACGAAAATTATGACATGTATGTCATGAATGTCATGATTTACATTTCATGGTCCTGAAGCTCTTGCGGTGGTTTCGTTCACATGGCAATTGCAATACTGGTATGGTATGGCATCATTGCACGGCTGACACAAGCGACAGACCCTAACATGAAAATCATGACATGCGTGTCATGTAAGAACATGACTACATGCCGTGCTCATCACGCGCTGGCGGCTGTTTAACTAGCTTCACAAGTAGCAAACCCAATATTACGCGACGTGAACGGACGACATACGTAAATGACACATCCAAACATGATAATAACGACATGCGTGTCATGTAACAACATGAATACATTCCACACTCATGATGCGCTCGCGGCCGTTTCGCTAGCTTCACATATTCCAAATTTGGTATTACATGACGCCAGTGGATGACGAAAGTATGTGACTGGTGCAAACGAAATAATCATGAGATGCGTGACATATGTGAGAACATGACTACATGCCACAGCCAAGGCGCCACTACATTTCGACATGACGCGGTGCGCGTGCTCACCGGCGTTCGTTTCGTCGCGTCACGCCGGCCTTGCCACGCCGTGCGCCGGTCCTGCTATATACTCGCAAACGCGCGCCACGCTGCGTCGCTTTGACGCATGCGCGTTTCAGCGCGTCCGGCGTCCCTCCATCATGAAAAGAGGGAGACGCTGTGTTGTCTGGGTAATGCATCGGTATAGAGTAATGTTAATCTATCTATCTATCTATCTATCTATCTATCTATCTATCTATCTATATCTATCTATCTATCTATCTATCTATCTATCTATCTATCTATCTATCTATCTATCTATCTATCTATCTATCTATCTATCTATCTATCTATCTATCTATCTATCTATCTATCTATCTATCTATCTATCTATCTATCTATCTATCTATCTATCTATCTATCTATCTATCAATCAATCAGTCAATCAATCAATCAATCAATCAATCTATCTATCCGCCTACTTCTTTTAGCTTTCCTGGTCGTTTCAATAACGGTATCAATACCAAAACTTGTATGGCATTGCATGACTGTATGATTAGCTTAAGTGACTAGTCATAACATAAAAATCATGACTTGTACGTCATGATTTACATTACGTGGTATTGCTATTTTTGCGGAGGTTCTGTTTACATAAAATATTGCAAAACTTGTAAGTTATGACATGACTGCATGACGAACGTAAGTGAAAGATCCTAACGTGGAAATCCTGACATGCATGCATATCATATCAAGACTCCACGGCACACTCATGGTGCGCTCGCGGTCGTTTAGATAGCTTCACATATACCGAATTTGGTATTACGTGACGCGAACGGACGACGACGGTAAATGACACGTCCAGACATGACAATCATGGCATGCGTGTCATGTAAAACAGGACTACATGCTAAGCTCATTGAGCGCCTGCGGTTGTTTCGCTAGCTTTACATATACCAAATTTGGTGTTACGTGACGTCAACGGATGAACAAGGCACATGACTGGTGCAAACATGATAATCATGACATGCGTGTCATGCAAGAGCATGACAACATACCACGCTCGTGATGCGCTGGAGGTCGTTTCGCTAGCTCCACATATACCAAATTTGTATCACGTGACGTGAAAGTACGTTCGGAGCATACGAGCAGTCGATGGAAGAGAACGTTTTATGCGTCGAAAGATACGAGCATGCTCTGAGCGATGCAGTTTGAGCAGTGTGCACCCGCAAAGAACTTCGCTGCAGTTCGCATGTAGTGAGAGTCACTCTTGTACATTTTACAGAAGAATAAAGAAATAAATTATTGTAATTTTTTCGCAAGTGTACTGATACTGCTCTAAAAATAATAAGAAAACAATGGAAGAATAATTTAATAATTCTGCTATGTTGCTTTCAAGCAAATACTGCAAGTGTACCTTAGCTACGTGTGCTGTCACGCATAGAAATTGTGCACCAGCCACTGTACGAACGGAGTAAATGGAAGACAATCTGACATTAGCCCTCTGGCCAAACTTCAGTGAGGGCAGGAGGGCTAAGGTTTCTATGGAATCGCGGCGTTCTGAAAAATGAGGATAATTCGGATACCATCGTTAATTCGACCACAAACGTAGCCGATATGAGATATTGGTAATGTGACAGCGTGCCAGAAACTGTGGCTCCAAGAACAAAAATACCGCCGTCGTGTTGTAGTGTTATGCGTCATATATCCCTGAAATTTCCGTTGTGTCCTGTATTGCTCCCATGCCGCCCGTGTGGAACGTTCTTTCGCGCTACTAAGTATATCCTGCGCGACTGCTGAAAGCAGACTATTACGTCTGGCTCTGAGCCACATCTTGTGAATGCGCCCTGACTTAGGAAAGGCTCGTCGATACCATCTACATTCCAAGCCGGCGCCCGCTTCAACAGGCCGTATATACAGCATGGTACCACGGCCAGCAGCCGTGATGGTACCCAGCGGCCATGATGGTACCCAGCGGCCGTGATGGTGCCACATCCCAGGTGAAGCTAGAGTAACACTGCATGGCTCCTTGTTAAGGAGTATACGGTTTCTTTGTGAGTCATACCCTCCCGAAGTAGGCATACATAGCAAGTCTAGGCGAAGCCAGAGGGTGGGGTAGAAGTCACCCCACCCCACCTCACCACTCAAACTTAAAACTTTTAATGCATATATGCGCACGCCCACATAGAAACAATCACATAGTAGTATAAGGTCGGACAATTTTCGAAGTCACGA